ATCGGGTGGGGTGGGTGGGCCGAGGGCACTGGCAGCCTGGCTGGTGTGGGGGCGGCTTGGCCGCTGGGGGGGCTTGCTTCGGATGGGCAGTGTGTGTCTCTCTGGTCCTCCATGTCTCTCTCTGCTCCTCTCTGTGTGTGTCTGTGTCTCTCCCCCCCTCTGTTCGTGTCTTTCTCTGCCCCTCTGTGTGTGTTTATGTCTCTCTGTTTTTTTCCTCTCTGACTGCCTCTGTGTGTGTGTGTGTCTCTCTCTCTGCTCCTCTGTGTCTCTCTCTGTCCATGTGTGTGTCTGTCTGTCTCTCTGCCTCTTTGCTCCTCTTTCTCTCTGACCCTCTGTGTGTGTGTGTCTCTCTGCTCCTCTTTCTCTCTGCCCTCCCTCTCTCTACTTGCTTCGGGTGGGCAGTGTGTGTCTCTCTGGTCCTCTATGTCTCTCTCTGCTCCTCTGTCTGTTTGTCTGTGTGTCTCTCTCCCCCTCTGTTCGTGTCTTTCTCTGCCCCTCTGTGTTTCTCTCTGCCCCTCTATGTGTTTTTTTTATCTCTCTGTCCCTGTGTATGTGTGTCTGTCCCTCTGCCTCTTTGCTCCTCTTTCTCTCTGACCCTCTCTCTCTCTCTGACCCTCTGTGTGTGTCTCTCTCTCTGCTCCTCTTTCTCTCTGCCCCCCTCTCTCTACCCCTCTGTGTATGTGTCTCTGCTCCTCTGTCTCTCGGCCCCCGTGTGTGTGTGTGTGTGTCTCTCTCTCTGTTTCTCTCTCTCTCTGCCACTCTGTGTGTGTGTTTCTCTCTGCCCCTCTCTGTGTTTCTGTCCGTCCCTCTGTGTGTGTGTTTACCACTTAATTGGGATGATCACTACATTTTAAAGGGGGTCAGGTTAATGATGTCTTCAACAGGTCCTTTAAAAAGAATTGTGTCAAAGAGGTTCCAGAACTCTGTCCTGGCATGTTCCCCCAGAAAAAAAGCCCTGGGAATTGTCTTGCTCACAGCAACAGTCAAAGCTTAGCTTGTATTCATTTGAAGAAAGCAACTTGGTATTTAATGTTATTATACGCATCATGTGTGTAAGTCTGTTTTAGGCACACCTCTCTCTCAAGGGGTCAGGTTATTCATAATTTTCTAGAGAAGGGAGGATGTCTTTTCCAGATAGTAGATCTGCTAGTCCTGTGAAACATGGAGCATGCAGAATGTGTACCACTTGCTGGAGTGATTGTGTACCACTTACATGAGATTGTGGCTTCTCTTCCATTATTAAAAGTTTTTGCTGAGTGTATAAAAAAAGCTGCAGTCTTACACAAGTCCCATTCTCTAATGTCACACTGTTCATACAAGTAGCCCATTTATTTGAACAGTTTTTTTGCAATAATTTATTTTTCATGTAACTATACAGGTACATTGCTGTGATAAAAACGTAACTTCCTTTTACAAAACAAACAAACCCCACTCATATATAGCAAAGGTCACTGATAATTTGCCCTTCTAAGGAAACTGGACTTTAAAAAGCTGAACCCAGGAGGTTTTGTATAGCAACTATCACAAAAATAAATAGCAATACTAACTTGATCTGTATTTTCACGCTTGTTGTAGGGTAGCTTCTGGAGATGTCAGGGTGTGTGGTACATGCAAATAAGTTGTAATAATAATAATAATAATAATAATAATAATAATAATAATAATAGCGGGAATGCTATTCATTGGATCTGTATCTGTTTGAATTTCCTTTATTATGCTTGACCTAACTGTGTATCCCCAGTTCTAACAAAGAACGTGTTTGAGTATGTTTTCAACGCTTTGAAATAAATTTTGCTTTTCTTGAAAACGTGGATTTATTCTCGATGCTTGGGGATCCAACAGGCTTACAAACTCCTTTCCCTCCCCCCTCCACAACAGACACCCTGTGAGGTGGGGCTGAGAGAACTCTGACACAAACTGCTCTTTTTCAAGGACAGCTGTGCCAGAGCTTGTGACTGACCCAAGGTCACATCAACAGGTGCAAGTGGAGGAGTGGGGAATCAAACCCGATTCTCCCAGATTAGAGTCCACACACTTAACCACTACACCAAACTAGCATAATGAGTTATGCTAATGAGCTCCTGTACCTCTTTTTCTACTAAATGACCCCTGGTTAAGAGTATCTGACTAGGACCCAGGAGATACATGAACACAGGTAGCCTTATACTGAATCAGATCAGTGGCCCAGTATTGTCTACTCAGACTGGCAGCAGCACTCCAAGGTCAAAACTAAATGGTTAGAGTCTGGTTAGGCTGGGTAAAGTCAAGGAAATATCTGCATGCTGTACAGGTTCTTCCTTGGCATTCTTTTAAATAGATATGGGTCTGAATGAGATGCAGCATTGAGAATGACTGGAATGGAGAGAATTGTGACGTGTTGATGGCTACCATGTTTTGATGGTTAATCTCCATTTTAGATGTGATGCCAGCATTGCAAAACTCTCTGGAGATACAAATATCATCAGACATGAAATTCAAAAACAAGAAAGAGAAATCCATGCCCTTCAGTCTACCCAGGAAAATTACATTAACAACATAGAGATGAAGGTGAGTAGGTCTGCAGGAACCATTACCTTCACCCCTCACTCCATTTTATTCAAACCAGTCATGGGTGTTAATGTAAGGCAAAGAGTAAAGAATGACAAATTGAGGGGCAAACCACACACAGTATGGAAGATCTGTGACTTCCATACAAGCCAGCTTGTGTTTAACTCTCCACCTACTTTGTTTTCTTAACACCTTTCTGAAACTGCTTGTTATGCTGTGCCTGTATTCCCACCCCCAGGGAGCCTAAAACAGCTTTGTGTGTGTGTGTGTGTGTGTGTGAAATTAGATTGCAAAGCAGCTCAAGGTTGGGGACAACACCTCACAAGCAAACCAGCAGCCTCTCCTGCTGCATTTGAGTAAAACAAAAGCACCGGGATATCTGATGAAGGCTCTGCCATATCATATGCAGCTTGGCCCCTTAGGAAGTCAGCAAATGCTGTTTTGTGTTCCTGTGGGAGAATACACAGCAGTACTGTGATGACACATGGTTCCAGAACAATCACAGTAACACGATATATAAAAAAACCCAAAGGGGGGGAACTTAACCCAAAATGAATTGAATATACAATATTATTGAATATACAATGTTGAATGTGCAATAAATACATGTATTGATAATACTTATGTTTTAAGTTTAGGCACAGCTGCATCATAACCCAATTATTTCTACAGCACTTTAAATTAAGTACTGTACTACAGTGCATAAGCTTATGAACATTTATCACTTAAACAGAAGGAGTTTTGGGTGCCAGAATT